GAAAGGCAGGGAGAAGAAAGTACACCCATTTGTCTGAAATTATATAAACATGGACCAGCGCTCATCTCTGTGTTCTTCTTATACCAGACTGACAGCTGCCTTTTGTATTTTAACTGGGTCAAAGCAAGCTGGGGGGAAAAATAAACACAGCTGGGGTGACTGCACGAGGCTTTTTAGAGTCTAGGTTATGACACAAATTCATAAACGAGGCCCAAACAAGAAATCGAAAACATACCCCCCAAAAAAAAGAGATACTTTTAATTTGCCTTCTGTTTTCTCCCGTCACACGCCCATGAGTCACCTTCGCAGACAGAGGTGCTTCAGCACAGGCCAGCGAGCCTCTGAGGCCTACCAGCATTTCTTACCACCGTTTATGAGGAAAAAAAAAAAAAAAAAGTCAGCTAAATTAAAAAAAAAAAAAAAAAAATCGCCCCGCGCAATCTCGGTTTAATAGTTGTAAATAGTGTATTTTGCAGGATGCAGAATTCGTTTCTGAGGCAATAATGTATTCCCCAGTGCTGGGAAGGGTTCAGAGGATATAAAAATAGCAGCAGGTACAAGTAGCTGTTCTCAGGTAAGTTTCAGGTGATAAAATATTTTCATGAAGAACTTTGTACTAGCTCCTCATGTATAAGAAGTTGCTTTTTTATCCGAGTGGTTCACTTCAGCAAGGCTGCAGACAGCTAGCGGTATTTAAACTGGGAGGAGAAAAGCCAGGACCCATCATCTTACAGTTCCACAGCTGGAATCAGCGGGGGGAGGGTGTTTTTGGCCGGGTTGATACCTAGCAGGATGGAGGGAAAGGGGCTTGTTGCGAGGAGGGGCCTGCAGAGCCTTTTAGGGGTGTCCCAGGCGGCGGCGGGGCGACCTGCTGCTGGGTCGAGGGTTGAGCAAGAGTGAGGATCAAAGCGAAGACGCAGCTGTCTGCGGAGCTGGAGAGGGGTTTTATATATTCGTGGTTATCTTAATCTTTGGTGTGTGCAGGGAGAACCCCTTCCTCCCCCTTTTTTTTTCCCCCATTTTTTTACAGCTTAATTGCTATGAACGCTATCGTTTTAACTCTTACATGGATCTGCTGGGTTAATTTTTACCATGCCATTGCAGGGATACAGTACAGGCTGATGAGTCCGGTGTCGAGTTGTATCCTTCTAAGGAAACAAGGTGGCATTCACTGCCTATGAGTTTATATGAGAAAGGGAACAACGTGAATAGCGGGATGATTTATTTTCTTTTTTTTACCACAACCGGTGGTCGTGCGTTCCCAGCACTCTGCGAATTGTGCATTGAAAAGCATTGTCCCTGTAAAATTAACAAAATAAGTGAAACCCCGTAGAATTTGGAGCTTGGTTCCTAAAATTACTCGTTGGCTGTACTGATGTAATCTGACTTTATGTGGCATGGACTTTTTTTTGGTAATTCCCCTGTGTTCCTGCCTGTGACTAAAATAAGCATCCAGAGGTAAGTGCAGAGTATAGCTTGTGAAGATTTAACACCTGCTTACTTTTTTCTGGTTAAACTCTTATCTGTTCAAATAAAGGAAAAAAAAAATCAGTTTCCTTTCAGAGGTAGTTCAGAGATAAGCGAGCAGTCCCTATGTTAGGGCTGATGTAAGCCTCCTCTTCTTAGTTTTCCTTTATTTTTAAACTTGCCTCTAATGAACCTTAATTGTCCAAAAGGAGAAATCTGCTCTTGGGATACTTTGCAAGGCTGCAGGACAGTGTTTGGAATCAGCCTCAAGCGTGGAAGGCTTCGTCCCTTCCCCCCCTACCCCAGTCTCATGCCCAAAATCTTAGGGGAGAGCCAAGTGTTCCCTGCTTCTTGCAAGCCCTAGAAGCTCAGGCTTGGCGCCTGATGGTGGCAAGTAGGTCTGAGAACGGAGGCTCAATGTTCTTAAATCTTAATGCTTATATTAAAAATGGTGACAAGCAATTTGTCTCAGACTTGACTGAAAATGGGTCACGAGTCAAGTGATTTTTTTACAGTATGTAGAAAGGGGGAACGAATATGGGACTAAGCTAACTGCTTTGCCTTGAAGGAGCCTGTTGCTCTATTGCCTTGCAGAGTTGAGGGTGGGGGGGGAAAGTGTTTTCCTTATGAAAAGCTAATAAGCTGTGTAATTTGTGTACCAATGTCTAGCTGATCATTAGGCCCTTTGAACAAGAATGCTTGCTTAATGGTTCACTTATTTGAAATTGTCTTGTGGTTATTCAGTCTTGGACACCCAGGTTTGCAGGGATGGGCTGTGCTGTCTCCTAATGCTAGAAGATCCTGCTTCATTTTAAAAGTGCTGATCAGTAAAATCTGTGCGTGATGGCCTATATTACCTCTCTGGGGTTCTGATGGACTGCAGCTCTTCAAACCTGGTATTTGTGCAGAAGTGTTTTATATATCGTGCTTGTTGCCTCCCAGGGAGCTCCACCTTCATGAAGCAGGAGTGCGGCTGGCCTTGTTTGCTACATCCAAACCAGGTTGTTTAGTGTTGGAAAAATGAAAGTGAATTTATAGTGTAATCAGGATTGAGCAATGCCCTTTTCATAAAGGGAGCTTATTTGGATGGACTTAGTTTATGCTAGCTGTTTAGTCTATGCAGTGACAACACTTTTAAAATAAGAGGTTCACACAAAGCTATTCAGCTGTCTGAATGTATTGGACAGCTGGTCACTTGCATCTTGAAGTGTTGTTGCCCAGATGTGCAAGTGACGTCTTAATCAACAGTGCCAGCAATGTGACTGAGGCCAGGTCTTGTGTGTTCTGGCTGATAATCAACGTGGATTAGTAAAACTATAGGCAGGTGAGACAGGTACTTCTTCCCTCACTTTTCAGACTGTAGAAGACCTCATGACCTCTAAATTGGTGGACAGAATAGTCTTCTGGGATGGGAGTGGTGCGGTTTGTGACAAGCCGCATTCTGTGGCACTATCTGCTTTAAGCATCAAACTGTGCTCTAAGCATGAGTCTCAGTACGCATGCAATTAAAGTTTAGAAGCTTTCATAAATCTTCTTGCTTCTTTTGGGGGTAGGGTGGTGTCTTTTTATTTGGGGTTTTACTAGTGTGGGAAGATGGAGACCTTGTAGCAGGACTCTGCTATGCATCCATGTATGCATGGCCTTACAGGTCTGATACAATATGGCTGCTGCCTTTATTTTCTTAAGTAACTGTATACTCATGTTTTTCCCTACTCAAACTAGTTTTCAGTCTGAGCTTGCATTTCATCTCCATTCAATGTCTTCATGTGACTGCTTGTTGACATACTCCCTACACTGGGAGATTCTTCTTACCTCTTAAAGCTTACATAAGGTTATTCTATATATCCACTGTGAGTTGGTTGGCACAGAGCAGAAATGCATTTTCTCTGACTGTAGAGAACCTCTTTGTCTGAGGCAAGCGTAATGTTTGAGCATGGCTCTGTAGGTAAAGACTGTTCTTGTATGGGCAGCAATGGCATTTCTTCAGTTGTGCTTCTTAATGGAAATGGCAGTGGTTTATCTTTGCTGCATGTGCTGCTGAACCTGCGGTACTGTTTGGTGTGCTACCTTCAGTGAGATCAAGCTTGCCCAAAGAAACAGCTTGCATGCCGTGGCTGGTACTGCGTGTTCATGGAGGGCTTGGTATCTGTCCTTCAAAGCATCTTTGCCAATACTGAACTCTGTATGGCTCAGATAGTCTAACGCCTGTCTGAGAACTTGCAATAGCAATAGGCCTGATGAACTGTGAGTCGGTTAATTTGTCTTGCTCTCCATGCTCCCTTTCTGCCTCAGAGTACCACCAGTGACTTTTTCAAATGACAGAAAAAGAGAAGGTTAGAAAGGTGCTGTAGTCTGTGGCCATGTAGCAATTGCTCTCCCAGCAAACTTCTTAGAAGGTTCTGCTGCTCTGCTGTACTTGTGAACTCTCCCTTTAGTCATCTTTCAAGCCTGGCCAGCAGTGTGGTTGAAGGAGCATGTGAACAAGAAGCTGAAAAATACTCGTCTGATGGATGTAGCCATTCTTGTTCTTCACCCTGAATCGATGCTCTTCTGTCCAGACTTCGGTTTAAAATGTATGTCACATGCACTGTTTTAGGAGCAATTATGCAGACAGTAAAGCGATGTAGAACACCATGCCTTAATTTACCACGCTAATTAAACTTGAGAGAGTGCCTTTGACATTTAGAGTCTCATGATCATGTTGAAGTAGTGGCTGCATGTCTTGCTGACAAACCTGTTCTTATTTATGCGGAGGCCTCTGGGTATGAGTACAGAGTGGAGGTGAGAAACAAGATAGAGCAATGCAGGTTTTTTCCCCTTGATGTAGAGCATAGAGAGGGTGTATATGGTTTCAGCTTTATTCCTTAAAATAACATCTAAGTGTGAACATCTTGCAGTTCAGGAAACTGTGCTGAAGTTCTTAAAGATCAAAGAAAAATATTTTTCCTACGTTCTAAGCTTTCACTCCAGATTTCTGAGTGCATAGATGTGTAGTCTGTGCCTTTTGAATGCTTTTCTTTAGCATTCATACTGCTAGTTGCATTTCTGGTAGAACTTAAGAGCTAAGGAGGAAAGAGGTCTTATGAAGGGGAGGATATCTAAATGCTGCTCAAGGGACTCTATCAAAACGGAAGAATACACAACTTTTTTTGTAGCTCTAATTTTACATTAATTACTGTTTGAAAACTTGGAGTAGAAACTTCTTTTACCTTGACATAAACTGAAGATGATGGGACAGAAGGATGGAGAATTTTTTTTTTCCTCTTAGTTTATGATCCCCATATTTCAGCTGGGGTTTTTTTGGTGATGCAGTACTGGTATTAATCAAATTTTGGGGGTGAGCATGTAAGGGTTGAAGTTAGCAAGATGAGATGAGTTAGACTTTTCCTCCACTGTGGGGTGAATGGAGGAGGCATGAAGGTAGGAGCTTGCCTCTGTTTACATATCATCGAGAGGCAAAGCAGCTGGCCAAAGATGCCAATTCTTGGCAGACAAGAGTGAAAGATAACAGGAAAGGAATTAAAGTACTGGGTACAGTTTTGGATGAGAAGACTGTATCCCTTCCCTTTTTTCGGATGGGAGACCACCTGTGTCATCAGCAACAGTGTATATGGGATGGTGCTGTTGATTACTCTGTGCTCCTGTTAGAGTACTTGACAGTATCAACCCTTTACACTAGAAGAGGCAACTTTATTGAGGAAGTACTCTGTATGTGTTTAGGCTTGATAAGTTTTAGGTTTGCTGGGCTACTGTGTGTGCATGCTGGGGAATTTGGGGAAAAACCTGAAAGGCGTTGTGTGTGCTCTGCAAGCATCTAGTCTGCCTGCTAACCTTCAACAAAAGAGAATCTTGTGGCTTCTGTACGGCTGCTTCTCTTTCCTCCCTTGACATCCTCTGTCCCTCAAGAGCCCAGCACAGGGAGAAACCAGGCTTTCTTGCAGAACTTGACTGACAAGCCAAAGCTGATTCTCAAAAAACCTTATATCCTAGGTCTTGTGGTTCTCTTTTAATTTAAATGACAGTGGATCATGGGGTTAGGCTCATTGTAAGAGGAAATGGTCTTGGCTGTGTCTTGGAAAAATTAGTCAGACTTTTAGATACAGAAATCAGGGCCCAACAATCCTAATTAAGAATAGTGTGGGAGCAAAAGACATATGTGAAGTAGCTGAAAGTGGGTAAGTATACATATGTAAACTACAGATTTGACTCTGTGTTATAGAAGTTGACTCCAGCTCCCATGGTCTGGGAATTACCCAGGAAGCCTAACAGGTATTCTGCAAGTTGGCTGGCTAATACAAGCATACTCGCCTGGATTTGCCAAAGAGCAAGTAGTACTCAGTATCCTCTTATTTACTCTGCTGAATGTTACTTGCTGTTGATTGCACTAGCTGGTTAGCTGCAGCTAGTGTCCATTGCTGATGAGCTCAGCTGTATCAGATACCGAGCTTCTGGCAGGAAGTCGTGCCCTATGTGCTTAGGTGCATGCCAGGCTGCACAGCAGGTTCTCTAGCTATATCTGCTCTTGTAGGTATAGCTCTGTGTAGAGTAGTCTCTGCAACCTTAATACAGCTTATAGGATCAGAGTAGTGTAAACCAACATCTTGCTCTGTTCCCAGCTGACTAATATTGGGCTACTGGAAGCTTCTAGGCTCCCCTTCGTAATTGCTTCCCTCTGGACAAAAAAAAAAAGTGTCTTCCTCTTTTGTAACACAGGTCTTCTTGAGCTCTCCTTGGGAAAATTCAGAAATGTGCTACTTAACCAGACCAATCCAGTGGAAGCTGTAATCAGGAACATTGCAAGCAATGTGACTGTTGTTATTTTTCAAGTACATGCCCAGCAAAGTGATGTGGTGATATCCTTTGATAAGGTACGGTAAGAGCGTCACTTCTGTTCTTAAGTGCTACTTTTCTTTCAACAAAGGAGTTGGCTCTGGTACATGTAGGAATATAGAACTGAAGCGAATACAGAACTGAAGCTATATAAATAATATGAATATCATACCTGCATGGCTGTTAGTATTATTTTAGTTTCAGAAATCCTTTCTTGTACCTATATGTCAGAGCTGCTATTTTGGAGGACTTAATGCTAAAGGTATTTCAGAGCTGGCTTGAAAATGTTTCAAGGCTCTTTCTTCTGGGTAGAAGTGGTGTTTTTGACATGTGACTGCTGACTGCTATCCATCCACTTGTGAATTAAAAACACATTCGTGGTAAGTGTTTGCTGGATACCTTATACACTAAACATGATCACTTTGGGATGTTTAGTTGTCTGCTGTTTATGTGGCTGGGATCTAGCCACTACAGATATGATACGATGTCTTGTTACCCCAGCTTCTTGTCCTGAATCTAATTCTCCTTTGATGGCACACAGAGAAATTCCTCCATAGTATTCCAGTGAAGGCTGCTACTTCTAGCCAACAATATAAGCATTCCTAGTGCTATACACTAGCCTCAATCTGTCCCATCATTACTGGCATGCAATCTAAAATACTGATATTTTTTATGGTGCTGTGAGGCTCTAAGTGGTATTTGAGCAGAATGTAGACTAAGCTGAAGGTAGTAAATGGGAATCTGACAGCTGCCATGCAGTTTCCCTCTCCCCGTCAGTATTTTCCAAATGAGAAAATACTGAGTGCCAAGGAGTATTCTGGGAATCTTAGGAGATGAATAACCTGTAACACAAGTCACCCAGCTCATCATCTTTGTACCGGTGAAATAGCCAGGTAATCCAAGACATTACTGTTATGCCTGTTTTGGTCTTTGATTACCACTGGTAGAATCTTCTACTGTCAATTCAGATCCTCTTTGCATTCATGGGCCTTACCAGGCCAAGGGCAGTGATGCATAAATGTGGCTATACTGCTTTAGGGCTGGTCTGCCTCTAGAAATATGAAGCTGAGCCAGACCTTAAAGCCTGCCAGGTCCACAGTGCTTCCTTGCAGTGTTGCCTCAGATAACTGTGGCCTTCTTGGACAAAAGCATGTTTTCCATGCTGAAAAATAGATTTGACTGCAGGTCAATTGGTTGTTCCAGCCACGTGAGTGCGATGCTGCCATTGCTGCCTGATCTTTCCTCAAGACCTGTGATTCTGAAAAGGATGGTGCTGGTGGGCATTGGGTCAGTAACTGACCTGGCCCCAAGCACTGTTGTCTGGCATGGCTAGTGTTAAGTCGGCTGTCATACAGTTATCTCCATTTTGGTTGAGATAGTGAGGTGCTTCTGCACTTTTGTTCCCAGAATGCTCTTCAGTGACAACTCACAAGTTTTTGTGAGGGTTATTCTAATCCTTTTACACCTTTACTAGTCACTCTATTGCTGTGCAGCGGTAGAGTTCAACTAGCTAGATTTCTCTGCAATTTGCTTGTGATTAAGTCTTTAGTAGTCTCAAACTTATCATTGGGTTTTTGAGCCTGAACTAGGCAGTGTGTGGTGTCAGGGGCCACTCCCTTCTTCCAGCTCCTTTTTTCCATCTTCCTTTTTTACTAGCTAGCTAAAGGCTGAATGCCTCATCTGTGGGAATTGGCACTGAAATGTGTGCCCTGCAGGTTTGTGGCAGGACTGTGACTTCTGTGCAGTACATCAAGCTGTGGTGGAAATCTTCTCAAGAAGAGCTACTTGTTTTTATAACTTGTTTCTGTCCAGAATCCTTCTGTGAACAGCTCGGGAACTGGAGTAGACAAAGGACTGGTTTCCATCCTTCGGCCTCAACAAAGCATATGCACTTGGTATCTTTGGTCACTGGATGCTAGCCAGGTGCTCAGCACAGCTATCTCTATTCCCTATATGGAGAAAGGTATGTCCTTATTACTTCTTAAGGGATGCCAGCTCTGCTTATTACCCGTTAACTGTGAAATGAAGTGTTGACCTTTCAGAAGTGATGTTCTTACATGGTGCAAACCTGTGATGGAAATGCCAGAAATTCTTTTGAAATGGGCCGAAAAAGTTTAGTATCACCGCTGAACTGTGAGTCGTGTATAGGATGTACTGTATGGTCTTGTCATGACTTCAGCCTTAGAGTAGAAAACTGCTGTGCGTATGTGTCAGGACCTATCTTAGACTGCAGTGAAACCACTTGTGTTGTCTGCAGGACTAGAACCTGACAGTTTTATGCGCTCAGCAAGCAGGTTATGCCTACAAGTACATGCATTGCTGAGGTCTTAAAACTTTTTTTTCATGCTGTGTAAGAGGGAAGTAAAAATGACTACAGCTATCTTCTTCTGTGTTCTAGATCCTATTCCTGGAGGCTGCAATCTAGAATTTGACTTGGAAGTGGATCCAAATATTTACCTAGACTACACATTGGTTGATACACACATCAAGTTTGCCCCTGCAAACTTGGGATATACCAGGTGTGTGAAAAAAGTTCTGTGCACTGAGCAAAACCTCCTCTGTCCTGTATTTGGCCAAGGTCATAAAACAAGATTCTGCTGGAAAGGGGCTGGCCATCCAGCTGCTGGCAGAAATCTTGTTTGCTGCAACAAACTGAGAAGTAAAGGAGGAAAAGGAGGAGGGGGAGAGGTAACACAGCGAGAGATAAAAGTTGAGAGTTGCGTCTTGTGGGAGAGGTTATGCAACTTCAGATGTGCAGTCAGCAAATACTGGATCTTCCTATTCCTCATAATGACTTAATCTGTTTGAGGAGCAGTCGTGTATTATAAGCAGTTTTATTCTTTTACTGATACTGAAGCATGATAATGACCTGGAGTTTTGTTTAATATTGAGACTTGAAATTGTAAGGTATTGTTTCCTAAATAGTGCCTGATGTTGCAGGTGATAGGCAGGGAATGGGGAACACTAGGTTCAGAGCTGTATATATAGCATGCAGGGAAAAACAAACAGGGATGTTGTGACCTCTTGGAACTCTCGTGCTGGTTCCTTATGACAACTCATAGGAAGCCTCTGTAAATATAAAGGCAGCTACCAGCACAGATACTACCTATATCGGGGTAGTTCTGCATAATACTGCTGTAGTCTGTGCTCACAAACGTTTACAGTCTAGTTTTGAATTAGTTGCTGGTGTTAACTTCTAAAGAGTAGAAGCCAAATACTGCTGCCTCGGACAGGTAACTTCTGAAAACTAATGTTAAGATCTGGGGGCTTGTGCTGGGCATGTAGCTGATCTTTCTTTAATTGCAGAGGAGCAAACCCACCATCCTGCGATTCAGGGACTGGTCAGAACTCCAGGTGGCGACTGCACTATGATGTCTACCAGTACTTCTTACCAGAGAACGATCTGTCTGAGACGGTACTCATGAGCCACATACAGAAGATGTCTGAGGTGCAAAGTATCAAAGCTAATGGCATTAAAGTAAGTCTGAAGCCCTGGTGTACCAGGCACATGGCAGTGGCACTATCTTAAGTTTTTCCCTCCCCTGTGCTTATCTTCCTTGAGTGGCGATATAAGCAAGCTGCTGATGCTTCAGGCTTCTGGCTTGTATCTTGGATTTCTGGCTAGGAAGTATACAGTGAGTGATGCATGCGAAATGGCAGCTGCTCTCTCCTGGGATAGAGGTGGCTAGTTAGCACAGCCTGAAACGTGGCAGAATTGAGGCTTCTTGCAGTGGGCTCTGATATTAGGTAGATATTAGTGACTGGTCTGTGATGTGTTTCTATGTCTTGCACTCTTTTCTCAATTAAATGAGCTCTTGTTTCAGCATCTTCCTGCTTGCTGAATACTACTTTAGCCACAGTGCTCCTTCAGTGGTGTTGAGGCCAGCTTGCCTATAGCCTTACTGCCACCGAGTGCCTGTAAATCTATAAGTCGAGCCACTTCTGACAAAGATTGATAGAGTCTCCTACCATGCCTGATAGATGCTGGGGACTGGCATCCTCGGATGCTGAGAAGTGGCCAGGGAATGCAAGGAAGAGAGGAGGGAGGAGAGCATAGTGGAACTGGACTAGAAACGGGCCCCAGTTGGAATGGCATAAAGAGATCTGATGTGCAAGAGCAAATACTTGCTGTGTGTTTACATACTCCCCAGCAAAGAGATTGGAAGGGACAGGGAGGGGAGAATCCCGGTGGCCATGACCTGTCTGGCCTTGCTAGGGAGTAGAATGGCAGTCTTGCCTGCTTCAGAGGCCAGACCTGGGTTAGTAGACTGACAGGGAAACTGAACTGTGTCCTCAAATGAGGAGGAGCAAAACATATGAGTGAGAGAATCTTCTCCCCGTCAGAAAACATAGTAATGTTGGAGGAAGTGGAGTCTGTCCTGTAAGCCTTTAATACTTCAATTGGTAGTACTGAGAGGGTTCAGAATAAGAGAGCTCTTGCCTGCAGTTCTTGCTGGTCATCATCTTTGAACAGCTGAATATTCCCTCAGCTGTATGGACACATCAATATGCTGACAGTGACAAGCAGTTCCTTGCAATTAAGAATATTCTTTACTGTTCCAGATGCTTACTCTGACAGCTGATGACAAGACCAATGTCTACTTTTCCTCGCTTCCTGGACAAGGTGTGATCTACAACGTCATAGTATGGGATCCTCTTTGGAATACTTCTGCTGCATACATACCTGTGCATACATACGCCTGCAGCTTTGCTGACCTGGTGGATAACTGCTCTTCTCTCAGTAAGTTGGGACTTGTGTGTCCTTGGCAACTCATTTTAAGCTTGTTGTGCTCCAGCATGCTGAGTGGTGCTGTTGAGATTTGTTTTTTTTAAGTGTGAAGGAGCTCTTTGTTCTACACTAGATATGTTTTGTTACTTTATGACAGAGTCTACTCCTTGTTTAAGGAGAAATTGTAGAATAATGAAATAAGACTAAGGAGAACTATTAGCAATTGAAGGTTTAACTTAATGGAGGTTTAACATGTGGCTTGCAAATATATAGCTTTCAACTCTGTAGTGCCACTCTAGCTTTTTCCATTCGAACTGGATACATAATCTTAAATCACTCATAGGACCATAGATGCTGCATGTGAAACTAAGCTGATAAAACATGAGCTAGATTAGGGTCCAGCCTGATTTTTCAAACTGTGCTGGTGCTTACAGGAATTGGTAACTTACAAATATTTTAAATGGAGATAGTTACCTACGATAAGCATGAAGATAATGCCAGCAATAGTGAAATGACTACAAAGTCATGCTACTTTGTACAAAGGTATATAATGATAGAATTTGAGCGGAAGAAGAGCAAAGCTGCCTCTCCCATTATGGCTGCAGAAGGGACAAGAATAATGGGTAGAATATGGTTCATAAAGTAAGATTTATTCTCATGATTATTTTCTTATTATATACTGTAACACAAGTAATGTCTTCTCAGGAGACTTAATTTTAATCAGTAGCCATTCTGGCATGCAGTTTAAAAAAATAAAAAATGCTATTAATAAACCAGTAAGAATTTTGCCGAGGAGACAGAAGTGAGCCAGACTGGGATGCTGCTGGTCCTTTCTGTTGCATGGAGAGTATATTAAAGGGAGACTATGGTGAAGGCTGCAGTGATAAAGACTGTAGCTGCTGCCTGGGTCACTAATCCTGTAGCACTGGTTTTTATAATGATTGGATGGCCCTTTTTTAAAGCTGAGCAGAGAATTTTCAGGTAAAGCTGTATTGGTATTATAAACAGCAAGTTACAGCTACTTAACTATTGTTACAGAAACTTCAGTCTTTTGAATAAGGAGGAAGCTCTTGATTTCTTAATCAGACTGGAACTGCTTCAGTATTCTGTTGGAGGTCCTATCAAGATAACTGTTAGTTCAGGCATTGCAGATCTGCTCACATCATGTGTCTGAAGGAGTGGCAGCTATTAAGTTTTCAGTAGACTCAGTGGCAGCAGCCTGACCTTACCCTAGTCTCATTGTTGGGACTACTAGGTGGAATGCTCTAGTAACCATTTCTTTCTCCTTGTAGGCAAACTCTCTACCAAAGTATTCTTCACTGCTTTTGCTATTCTTGGTCTCTTCACTTGCTTTTTTGGACACAGATTCTGGAAAACAGGTACTGAATGTTGAGGTTTTTTCTCATAAGTCTGGTTGGAATTTCATAGATGTAACTTGCTGTGTCTTAGAATGGTGGTGGTATTACTAAGATTCACTTGACAGTGATTATGTGCCAATTGGGTCCACTGCTTTGCTTTTACGGGATCAGAGCTTTCGAGTGCAGAGCAAGAAGTTTCTGGTATGCAAAGAACAGAAACATAGAACTAGGGTGCATGCTGGGCAATATAAATATGTAGTTTTTTGACTGTTTGAAGTGCTTTAGGACACCCTTTTCCAGAACAAAGTGTTGTCTGGCTTTCCTTTAGTGCTTCTCAGCCACTGAGCTGATATGTTACCACAGGGAAAGAACATCAAGATGTCTGAAGATGTACTGAAGTGGGCTTGGTATGGAGTGATATGGCAACATACTAAATCTTTTTTCTTTCTTCTCTAGACTTATTCTTCATGGGCTTCATATTCTCAGGATTCTTCTTCTTTGTATTCATTACAAGGGTAACTGGCCTGGGTTATGATGGTGAGTAGATATGTCAGGATACCCTGTGCTCTTCCCAAGTATTGTGGTTATGAATCCCTTAATAAAATCTTGGTTGTGCTTGTTGTTGGCCAGCCTTAGGAAGGATAGGAGGATAATACCTGGGTACTTGAACCCAGCTTTGATTACTGTAATAGCTGAATATGTAGCAGAGTAACTGTTGCTTCCAACATCAAATAGTGATGCAGAATTAATAGCTGCAACTATAAAAGACAAATTTAAGTATCTATCCAAGGAAGATCCAGGTTTTTAGAAACTGTGGAAATTTGCAACATACTTCCTTCCTACTTCTTTCATAATGGATGGACCTCAGTTTCAGGTCTAATGCAAATTTCATCTGTAAAATGACAGAGGAGGGTCTGCATCCTGCTTGTTAGACTAGCAAGAATTAGTTCCTTTTGTCTTTGTCCTACCTCATAGTTACTTTTTTTGATACATGTGCGTTAGCTGTTGCAACCGTAACTGCCCTGGGAACTCAAGGCACTAATGTACATAGTAGCAAGACTTTCATTCCAGTCCTATGC